TTTTCACAGTGCCTCTAGGCCAAAAGACAACATGGCAACTCTGTTTCACAGTGATGCCCAACAACTTAATTTGTATTCATGTTCTAGCAATTCAATATCCATTTGAAAAAATAATTCAAATAAATTTTAAAAATATTTCATAGCATTCTTATATGACCAGAATTGCTTACCAATGGAAAGTGTGTAAACTCTATACACATCACCACTTCTCAGAGGCCAGGCTGCATACCACCACTCACCTCCTGTTCCATGATGAACACTGGGCTTTGCAGAGAGGAGGTGACAGGAAGGAAGGTAGCCTGATCTCATGCTGAAATGGCAAACCGCCTGGAGCTGGCAGTTCCCTCATTGTCAATTATCACCAGGGTCCCCTTGGAAACGACACATATTCCACAGCACCCCCAGAGCTCATCGCAGCACACTCAGCCCACAATGTGTGTGCGCACGTGTTCATTCATGAACATGTATGCGATCCAACCCAGCTGGAATGTCAATATGGCACATTTACACAAAATTTAATCAAGTTATGGTGTTTTCTTTTAAAGAGAAAAAACGGCTACAAGACAAGTGTCAGCAAACATTTTTAGCCACAGAGTAGGAACTATTTGAGGCTTTCAGACAATAAGGTCTCTTTTGCAATCACGCAGCTCTGCCGCGGCCACATCAACAGGCGCTGAAGGCATCACCGTGTCCCAGCACAACTACCCACACAAACAGGCAGCCTCTTTTGCTGCTGTTTGCCAACACATGTGTTTCCACATTAAACTTCCTAAAGTGTGGGAAGAAATGCCGTGGGCCCATACCGGCATCAGTAAATGAATAACAGGTGGAACGGGCCCACAGGGAAAGAGGATCATTCCCAAGAGGAAGCCTGGCGACCGTGTCCTCATCAAAGCATCCTTGAGTCTCAGCAGAGGCTTGGAGAGGAACAGCACACCACTTGGCAGGGGCAGTGACATGTACATGTTTTCTTTCTTTTTTTTTTTTTTTTTCTTTTTTGACAGGCAGAGTGGACAGTGAGAGAGAGAGACAGAGAGAAAGGTCTTCCTTTTTGCCGTTGGTTCACCCTCCAATGGCCGCCACGGCCGGCGCACCGCGCTGATCTGATGGCAGGAGCCAGGTACTTATCCTGGTCTCCCATGGGGTGCAGGGCCCAAGCACCTGGACCATCCTCCACTGCACTCCCTGGCCACAGCAGAGAGCTGGCCTGTAAGAGGGGCAACTGGGACAGAATCTGGTGCCCCAACCGGGACTAGAACCCGGGGTACCGGCGCCGCAGGCGGAGGATTAGCCTAGTGAGCTGTGGCGCCGGCCGATACATGTTTTTTAACTTTGTGAATTTTTGATACTTCTTTTTTAACATTTCATTTCATAAATAATTTTACATTTACAAAACAAAAACTGTGAGGTAGCAATAAAGAGTCCCCATATACTTCTCACCCATTTCCCCCATCAACACCTCATATTAGCATCTGTGTCACAATCAATGAACTCTACCCTATTTTTTAAATCCACACTCCTTTTATCCCTGCCATATGTCAAAGACCTATAGGTAAAAACTAGTCATGATGAAACATTAGAAAAGATATGAACTGAGGATCATTCGACAAAACAATGAAGATAATCTTCATAAACATCAAAGTCATGAAAGTCAAAAAAGCCTGAGTAAATGAAAACTGAAGACTGAAAATCTATATATATAGATATAGACAGAGACATGACAACAAAGCACATTTATAGGCAATGCATGATTCCAGACTGGAGCATTTTGCTATAAACATAACTTATGTAAAAGGCAAAAGCTGGATGTGATGTTACAATTAGAGTCTAGCAATTTGTCAATGCTTATTTCCTGATTTTGTTATCCATATACTAATTATATTGGAGAGCATCTTTGCATATAAGAAAAACACAGGGTTATCAGGGAATCCTGTCATCAACTCACTCACAGATATTTCAAGAAAACAAAGTTCTTTGTACCACCATACTTACAAATTTTCTCTAATTTTAAGATACTTTCAAAATCTTCTTTCATTTTTGATTTTTAAAATTAAACAGAAGAACAAATATGCTCCATATTGATATGTATACTGCTGTATATATGTGTGTACATACATATACTATATATATACACACACAGTCATGTACCTCGAAACAACACTTTGGGGTCAACAGTGGTCTGCATGTACAGCAGTGATCCCAGAACAGAGGTGGCAGTCCCCATCGCCTAGTGCCCTGTGGCTGTCTTCACGCCATAGCACCATGCACCCTCATGTGCCTGTGGCACTGCCAGTGTAAGCAGCCCTACTGCTGCACTGCCAATCATAACAAAGTACAGTGCATACATTAAGTACAGAACATCACACTTACTGTATTTATTTTACTACACTTTTTGCCCTGGTTTTAGAGTATGTTCTTTCTACTTATAAGAAAAGTTCAATGTAAAACAGTGTGCCATGTCACACTGGCAGGAGCCTCCTACCTCCCACGCTTACCGCTTGTCTCGGCTGCATCAGGACAGCATGTCAAGTGACGGACCTTCACCATCTAGTTTAGTGTAAGTGCACTTTGTAACATTCACATGTCAAAATCACCCGGTGACACATTTCTCAGAAGCTATCTCTACTGTCAAGAAACACAGGACTATATATCCTCTATCTTCTAAATATTGCATGTGTATGCTCCACTGGTACTGCTGCTGTCTACACAGCACAACAGCTAGCCCCGTTTCCAACACAGGCGATCTCCCCCATTTCTACCCAGGGCAAACACATCCTATGGAATACACAGACGACCACTTACACGGTTATCACTCTCAGTTATTTAAGGCATGGAAGCTAGGTATATTTCACTCAGTCAACAAATCTTTTTTAAACATTATTAACTTTGACTACATTCTTAGCATCTTGTGAGATAGAAGGAATGGAAATAAACACCTATACACATATCCATGTCTAGGCAAGGGGAAAGAAGAGTGGTTCTGTCCTTAATTACCACACACTGGTTTGGTAGGCAAGAGCAGCATGCAAACACACTACAAGATACATAACACTGAAATGACTATTCATTTATATAAACAGATTAGCTCTGTATCTTACCACACTCACCTTTACCGCCTAAGGAAGAGCATTAGAAGTGCCACAGATGCACTGTGGAAAGACATGGAGAGAAAGACATGGAGAGAAGGGTAAAGAGTCACCAACAAAAAGACAAAACATCTTTGACAGTGAATAAATGGGCAGGACAAAGAACCACATCCTCAATATGGACCAGGAAGAGAGGCAGAACTTAGAAGGCCCGGGCTCCTCCCCGTGAGACCTTCCCTACTTCACACTGCTTGCTGGCCACAGCTGTCTTCCCTACTTCACACTGCTTGCTGCCCACAGCTGTCTTCCCTACTTCACACTGCTTGCTGGCCACAGCTGTCTTCCCTACTTCACACTGTTGCTGGCCACAGCTGTCTTCCCTACTTCACACTGTTGCTGGCCACAGCTGTCTTCCCTACTTCACACTGCTTGCTGGCCACAGCTGTCTTCCCTACTTCACACTGCTTGCTGGCCACAGCTGTCTTCCCTACTTCACACTGCTTGCTGGCCACAGCTGTCTTCCCTACTTCACACTGTTGCTGGCCACAGCTGTGTGCATAGCGCTGCTCAGGCACAAAGGAAACCGGCATGCACTGTGAAGCTGGCACACAAAGAATCAGTCACGTGTTAGTGAGTAAACCCAGAAAATCCTCAGAATCCACACTGAAATCAGCCGCACCTAGAAGAGAAAATAAGTGGAAGCTCCGACACTTTCCTGAGACATAGACGCTGAAACTGAGATTATTGGTAGGTATTTTCTGAGAAAATCAAATATTCCAATAAACTCAGGATGCAATGAAACAGCAATAGGCAAGTCTGTTTACTGCAGAGCGTCTCGGAGCCCACGCCACGCTGACGTGCACCATGCATCTAAAGTGAAGGGTCCATCATATGCAACTTTCCACTTAGGTCAGCAGCTACACCAAAATGCCCGAGTGCGGGGCCAGTGCCATGGCGCAGTAGGTTAATCCTCTGCCTGTGGCACCGCCATCCCATACGGGCGCCGGTTCTAGTCCCGGCTGCTCCTCTTCCAATCCAGCTCTCTGCTGTGGCCTGGGATAGCAGTAGAAGATGACGGCCCAAGTCCTTGGGCCCCTACACCCGCATGGGAGATCCAGAAGAAGCTCCTGGCTCCTGGCTTCAGATTGGTGCAGCTCTGGATGATGTAGCCATCTGGGGAGTGAACCAGCGAAGGAAGACCTCTCTCTCTGTCTCTACCTCTCACTGTCTGTAACATTACCTCTCAAATAAATAAATAAAATCTTAAAAAAAAAAAAAAACACCCAAGTGCTGCACATACCTTAACACAGAGACAGGATAAATGAAGAGATAGCTACTCTGGGAGATAGAACACCAAAAGTAGTCACACTAACTCCATGCAATGCTTCTTGGAAACACACACTTCTAATGTTTAATACTTATCTTCAGGACAACCCTTAACACAGTATAATTATGATCCTTGCTTTACTTTGAGGAAAATGAACTATAGAAAAACGGTCAGATTTCCTGCAGCTACAAAACGGTAAGGCCCAGGCTCAGGCAGCCTGGCCGGGTCCTCATGCTCCTAACCACGACACTGTGCAGGTGAGTGAAATGCCTGCTCATCCACTCCAGGATGAATTCCTGGCTGGACACTGTGAAAGAATGGAAAATAGACATGATGACTAACTGAAATAGAAGACTAGGAGTTTTTAAAGCCAGATAAAGTGAAACTGGGGCTGAGGGCAGGTGGTAAATACTCTATCATACAACAGTTTTATATAATCACAACGGTTATTTTAATTATGAGTCATGATAACCCAAAGTTCCACAGTTAATGAAAATGAAGAAGCGTTTCAAGCACAAAGCATGCACGCAATGTGCTGACCCACACCAGAAGGCAGGCACAGTGGTAACGCTGCGGGAGGCACTCACTGTGATTCTCTTCATATCCAGCTGGCGCAGCTGCATCATGTTCTGCAGGACGGTGTGTTTGTACCATGACTCTTGCGCTATTGGATTGCCATCAAAAGTTATGTCCGAGAGGGAAGTAGCATCGGCAAGGCAGGAAACACTGTCAAAACTACAGGAGAGATAGAAACCACTCGATTATTCTGAGGCCTTCACGTTTAACACTTCGATTTTTTAGCAGACTTCCCTCCCTTAGAAGAATTTTAGATTTGGGGTCAGTGCCATAGTGTAGGGAGTTAATCCTCTGCTTGCAGTGCTGCCATCCCATATGGGCGTCGGTTCTAGTCCTGGCTGCTCCTCTTCCAGTCCCGGCTGCTCCTCTTCCAGTCCAGCTCTCTGCTATCACCTGGGAGGGCAGTGGAGGATGGCGCAAGTACTTGGGCTCCTGCACCCCCAAGGGAGATCAGGAGGAAGCACCTGGCTCCTGGCTTCAGATTGGTGCAGGTCCGGCTGTTGCAGCCATTTGGGGAGTGAACCAACGGAAGGAAGACCTTTCTCTCTGTCTCTCACTCTCACTGTCTGTAACTCTACCTCTCAAAAGACAGCACAGTGATTCCATCTATTCCATACCCAGTTTCCTCTATTATTAACACCCTGTACTAATACAGGACACATTATCATTAATGAACAGTATCAGTACATGGTTATCTGTTAAGCCCTTGTTGTATCCCGATTTTCTTAGTTTTAACCTAACGTCCTTTCTCCATGGTAGGACCCCCCACCCCACCCCATGGAGCTGTCGTGTCTCCTGGGGCTCCTCATGGCCGTGTTCCTCAGCCTTCCCTAGTTCCTGATGCCCTTGGCCGCACTGGGGACTGTTCGTGAGTTGCTGCGCAGGATGCCCTGTAATCGGGATTTGTCTGGTACTCTTCCAGTGATCAGCCAGGGTGCGCACTGCTGACATGACTCAGCACTGATGGTACTGACTGTGATCCGCTCACTGAGACAGCGCTTTCTTCAGGTTGCTCCACAGTGAAATGACTGTTCCCGTCCCTCCTTTCAAACCACGCTGGAAGGAAGTTACCATGTCCTGTGCAGCCCACACTTAAGAAGTGCGAAGGTAACTGCCCCTCCTTGAGGACAGACTTCTCTACATAAATTATCTGAAATCCTCCTCCCAGGAACTTTGTCTTTTTCCAACCATTTATTAATTTGTATCAGTTTGAACTCTCTGATACTGTTTATACTTGGGGTTACAATCCAATACTACTTTTTACTCACACTGCTGTTCCAATTATTTCAGCTTTGGCCATCTTTGGACATTAGATATTTTTCAGTTGGCTACTTTGTCTCTTGCCTCCCAACAATGTGGACTTTTTAAAGCACTTCCTAATTTTTGGTACTAAATGATTGTTTAGTCTCAGATTTCCTGCCCTAGTCCCACAGCCAGCTATTTCTCCAAGGAGCCATGATTCCTTTTATTGCAGAATGGTCTTAGAAACAAATATTGGGGGATAGGGACTATGTGTGTTTTTGCTATTGTGTCATTTATTTAAGGCTCTATAAAACAGACAGAATAAAGGAATATAAATGAGAGTGTTTCAAAAGCTCACAGAAAAATTGAATTAAAAGAAATTTAGTGCTGGCGCCGTGGCTCAATAGGCTAATCCTCCGCCTTGCGGCGCCGGCATGACGGGTTCTAGTCCTGGCCGGGGTGTCGGATTCTGTCCCGGTTGCCCCTCTTCCAGGCCAGCTCTCTGCTATGGCCCGGGAGTGCAGTGGAGGATGGCCCAAGTCCTTGGGCCCTGCACCCGCATGGGAGACCAGGAGAAGCACCTGGCTCCTGCCATCGGATCAGCGCGGTGCGCAGGCCACAGCGTGCTGGCTGTGGTGGCTATTGGAGGGTGAACCAATGGCAAAGGAAGACCTTTCTCTCTATCTCTCTCTCTCACTGTCCACTCTGCCTGTCAAAAATAAATAAATAAATTAATTAAAAAAAAAGAAATTTAGTGTAAAACATTTTTAAAATTTATCCATAGCTTTTTCACAATGTGCATTTTCAATGAACTTTTTGAAGACTCCTTGCTCTGTGTGATGTTCTATACACACGCCTGCATTTCTCTGTCTAATCATCCGGGTCTGTATTAAGCTAAACAGGAGTCCATGCTGATGTCCCTGCTCTACACTGCCAGATCATTCTAGTCTCTTCCCCTTCCTTCTCTGAAAATTCTTACTGTAACAAGGAGAAATCTAGCTCACATAATCGGCTGTCTATTTAGTTGTTAAATTCTAGCATAGATATAGAGTTATCAGAAATTTAACTCTAGTGGAGAGCAATTTCATCTACTAAAATCCAAGGATGAGGTGCAATGCCTTTTGCATCTAGTCTCACATACTGCTATTGCTGAAGCTACACAGGTCATCATCGTCTCCTTCTCCTTCAGACAGGTCATTCCATACATATGAAATGTAGTGAGATTCTCTTGTCATGGTCTACCTTCCTTTCTGGGATCCTCCAATCTCCTTTTGAATTTGCTTATATTCAGATGCACTCCTTACACTATAAAGGCCTATGGATTTTGACAAATGCATGTCATATATCTAGCATTAAAGTATCATACAGAATATTTCCATTGCCCTAAAAAATCCTTGTACTTTATCCATTTTCCTTCCTTCCCACCCCATAAATCCCTGGCAACCGCTCAGTCTCTACAGCTCTGTCACCTCCAGAATGTCAGGAAACTGGAGTCAGATACTACCAGTATGTAGTGTTTACAGATAAGCATGTTTCATTTAGCAATGTGCATTTAAGGTTCATCTATGCCTTTCCATAGCTTCATAAGCTCATTTCTTTTTATCACTGAGTTATATTCTACCGAGTAAATGCAACACAATTTCTTTGCCTACTGACCCATAATAGACATTTTTGTTGCTTCCAGTTGAGTACTTAGGAATAAAGCTGCTGTAAAGATTCATCTGCAGTCTGTCAGATGGACGTAAGTCTTCAATTCAGCTGGCTGGTAAATGCCTAAAAGCATAACTGCTGGATCATCCAGTAAGACTGTGTTTAAATTTGTAAGTTTGTAAGAAACTGCCAAACTGTCTTCCAAAGTGGCTACATATCATCCTGCATTCCTACCGGCTTCTCATCCTCACCAGCATTTTACATCTGTCATATCTTACTGGCTTAAGTAATGTGCAGCTCCCTAATGACAATGGATATTGAGCATCTTCTCATATGCATACTTTCCATCTGTTATTTGTCCTTGTGGTTTCAACTCTTCTGCCCAGATTTGATTCTTTGTTTTCTTATTGCTGGGTTTTAAGAATCTTTCTAATACTATACATACAAGTATTTTTCAGAAAAATGTTTTGTAAATGTCTATCCTAGTCACTAGCTTGTTTTTCACTCTCTTTATAAAAATATATATTTGGTTGTTTAGTAATTTGAGTGAGACAAAGAGATAATAAATCACCCATCTAAGTTCACTCTCCAACTATCTGCAATTGTCAGGACTGGACTAGGCAGAAGCCAGGAGGCAGAAAATCAAGCCAGGTCCTCCACACAGGTGGCAGGAATCCAACCAGAGTCCTCACCACTGCCTCTCAGGCTCTGCATTAGCAGGAAGCTGGATCAGGAGCTGCGGCCAGGAAGTGAACCCAGGCACTGTGATGGGGACACAGGCATCCCAACTGGTGTCTTATCACTGGTAGGTCAAATGCCTGCCCAGCCTTTTCACTCTCTCAGCGGTGACTTAACAGGCCAGAAGTTTTTTTATTTTAATGATGTACAGCTTATCAATTTTGTCTTTCATGGATCATACTTTTGGCCTTGTATCTAAAAATTCCTGTAAAAACCCAAAATTGCTTAGATTTTCTCCTAAGCTTTTTTTTCTATAAGTTTTACAGTCTTAAATTTCACATTTAGGTCTATGATCTATTTTGAATGAATTTAATGAAAGATGTAAAGGCCATTTTATATTAATTTTTCCCTGTGTGTGTGTAAATTGTTCCATGTCATTTGATGAAAAGGCTCTTCCTCTATTGAGTTGGCTTCGTTTCACTGTCAGAAATCACCTGCCTATGTTTGTGTGAGTCCATTCTGGGCCATCTACTCACCTCTACTCGTACGTGTTTATTCTTTCACCAGTACCATGCTGCCTTGATTAGAGCAGTTTGATAGCAAGTCTTTGTTATGTAGCTTTGAAATGATTCCAAGCACTCAGTTTACTACAGGAGTGACATGTTTGACTGCAGTAGGAACATGAAATGTGATGGCCACAAGAATGCTACATCACAATTTATCAGGCCACGTGTCACCTGCTGGCCTCAATACCGGACTCCAAAACTCCAAGATTTTGACAGAGAGCTCAGACCATGATGGGGCTGCTCTGCAAAGCCTCACCCACTCACACCAGCACTACTTGCTAGTGCTGAAGGACACTGGAGCTGTCAAGGATTCCACTGTATTGGTCAGCTGTCTCTCAAGAGCCTCTCCTCGAAGAGTATTCCTCACATTTTGATCAGACTTTATGTCCACAAGGTCCTGCTTCCATCCTAACAGAGCAACTACACTCTAATAACAGGACTCAGGGCCGGAGCTGTGGTGCAGTAGGTTAATCCTCCGCCTGCAGCACCAGCATCCTACATGGGCACTGGTTCTAGTCCCGGCTGCTCCTCTTCCAATCCAGCTCTCTGCTGTGGCCTGGGAAAGCAGTAGAAGATGGCCCAAGTGCTTGGGCCCCTGCACCCACATGGAAGACCTGGAGGAAGCTCCTGGCTCCTGGCTTCAGATTGGTGCAGCTCCGGCCGTTGCAGCCACTTAGAGAGTGAACCAACGGAAGGAAGACCTTTCTCTCTGTCTCTCCCTCTCACTGTCTGTAACTCTACCTCTCAAATAAATAAAGTAAATTAAAAAAAAAAAAAACATAATGGGACTCTAAATAAAGCTGGAACTCAGTTTGGGTAAATGCGCCGGCCTATCGAGTATTCCCTGTGAGGCTGGTTCTCCTTTCTCTCTGCATCTTTGAGCAATAGGAATGAAAACCAGAATCTCTGTACTGCAGTGAACAGCTTGATCAGTGAGTTCATAGCTTGGTCTGCTCCTTATTTTAACCACACACAGTCTTGAAATGGGTTAGTGCAACTCAACCAATTTTGTGCTTCTTCAGT